TATTTTTATGGCTTAGCGCTAACCGTATGGCTCTATCAGGAAAGGTTATGCAATTGAACTTGACATTGAGAACAACTTATTAAAAATAACTAGTAAACATGTATATGGAAGAAAATCATAGAATGCTCAACATAAAAACTGTAAAAATATTGGGATGTAGAAATTGAAGTTATAAGGCTTTGAAATCAAATGCAAATCTAGAAATTGTGACACTAATTAAGATGCAAATAAGAAAGGAGACTTTGCCCAACTGGGTGGGGAAATATGATGAGACAGAGAAAAAGGGAAGAAATTTGATTGCAGAAATATGGAATTCAATTCAGCTATGCAGAATTAATTAGCATAATTCATACACACAGATAAATGGACACACATTCAAACAAGTCAATTTTGCTAGTAGAGAGTTCAAACATATCTCCTTTAAAACCTTAGGGTTTCATTCCAGTTACCAAGCTCCCCTGTCAGAGCACACACATAACTCAGAGTCCACAGGGAAGAGGAGGAGCTCAGGCCCCCAGTCTACATCAGCACATCTGTCCATCACTGACTCTCGTATACCAGAAAATGCTATTATGCAAAACATTTTACAGATAAATGTCTAGCATTACCGATGCTTTCTGGAAAAACTCTTTGTATCCTGAATACAAGATTTTCTACACAGGTAGGAAAAAATGCTTTCAAAATTCATTAAGCAAGTAGTTTTCCTCTTCATGACTGTGTTCGGCACTCTGGAAAACATTTATGTTTCTGTGAATTATATGTTCAGTTGCTTCAGAGGGCCTAAGAAGAAACCCGTACACTTTATTCTCATCCATTTGGCTTTTACAAACATCATAATTCTTCTTGCAAATGGATTGCCAAAGACAATGACAGATTTTGGTTTGAGAAACTTCCTCCATGACATAGGATGTAAGATCACCATTTACCTGTTAAGGGTGGTCCGTGGGGTCTCCATCTGCACCAGCAGTCTCCTCACTGTGGTCCAGGCCATCATCACCCAGAGCATCTGGGTGGAGAAGGCTCAGACCAAAGTCTGCATGGCATATCCTTCCATTGTTTTCATTCTTTTGGATACTCAATGCTTTAATACCTATTAACCTAATCCATTCCATCACAGGTGTAAGCTTGAATTTATCACAGCTTAATAATGAAGATGACTATTGTTATTTTATGCTAGAAAGTAAGACTATAAAATGGATAGTTCTTCCCTTTATGGTCCTGAGAGATGCTGTGTTTCAGGGAGCCATCGGAGGCGCCAGTGGCTACATGGTACTTCTCCACAAGCACCACCAGCATGTCCTATACCTTCAGAACTCCAAACTTCTCTACAGAACTCCCCCTGAGCTGAGAGCTGCTCATGCTCAGAGTGTCCTCATTCTAATGCTCTGTTTTGTTTTCTTCTATTGGACTGATTGTGCTTTTTCTCTATTTTTAAGTCTCTCTTTAGCAGACAAATCTGTGGCGGGAAATACTAAAAAATTTCTGGCCCTTGGTTATGCAACTTTTAGCCTTTTTGTGCTGATTCACAGGCATTGATTTCTACCTGAGTGTTTGCATGCTCAGTGGGAGAAATTGAGAAACTACCTCCTTTATTTTTCTGTTCAATGAGTGTGAAAAAGTTCTCAGTTCTGCAATATTGTGGGTAAGACAAAATTCTCAGAAAGCAGGGTAGGCATGTGTTTATTCTCACGCAATCTTCCTGGTGACTTTACAGCCTTGACCTGAGAGAGATCTTAGAAAATTACAGTGATAAAAGAAATCCTATTCTCTAATTTTCCTCTCTTTTGAAGGGACTTTTTAATTCCTATATTTGTATTGTGCATGGATAATTTACCTATATTATGTCCATGTAGCACATCCATGCCTAGTTCCTGTAAAGGATTGAAGAGATTGTGAAATGCTCTGTGACCGACTGGAGTTAGAAAGTTTGCTCTGAACCAAAGTGTGGTGGCTAGCCATTAAACCCGAGTCCTCTGGAAGACAAGCCAGTGCTCTCAGCCAGTCACAGAACCTAAATGCACTGAAATGTTTCCGTGGCCTTATATTCATGAAGGTTCTCCGCAGGAATGAAGGTTGTCCATATGGGATAAACTGGCTAAGGAATACATAGTGAAGTTTCATTATATCTATCTGTAATTTCTCTGTTGAATAAAGATGTGGATTTTCCTTTTTGCAAGATTAAAATGCAGTGTGACTGAAGCAGATTGAGGCCTGTTAGCATCTGCCCTTTGTTAATGCCTGGTTGCTCTCCACAACACTATCCAGCTGTTTGTCATCAAAGAGCTGCAAAAGGATCTGATTCCACATCCATTTAATTGAAGGATTCACTGCTTGATTTCTTAACATAGATCCACACAATAAGATATCGACATGGTTCTAAGAATCTGATATACCCATTCTGAAAACTACTTATTGATATAATCATTGATCATGAAAGTATTGAATTGCTAGAGGTGGGTTTATGCCTTTTAAAAAAAAAACTGCTCTGTCATATCTGAATAAACTCCTGTAAAATTTTGGGTTCCACATGGCTTTACTTTACAGTGATACATAAGTTTTTTTATATTTTGCTTGGTTGCACAGTGTATTACAAATTATTTAAGTAAATGATGTGTATTGTATTATGATACATATTATTAAATAGCTTGTTTTTCAGTTGTATTTATTTTATGTATGTTTCTCTGTATAAAAAATGTGCTTTAAAGGAAAAACAGAAATTGTTAGCTGTGGCTGGAAATAGAAAAGCTGCAAGATTCTTTCTTCCTATATATCTTCTGTATTTCTTTATTGTTTGATTTAGTTTTCCTTTCATGCTGGGAGGTTAAATCAGGACTTTCAACATGCTTAGTAATACTAGGCAAAAGAGAATTTTTTTTTTCATTTTTGGTTTTTCAAGATACGGTTTTCTCTGTGTAGCCCTTTCTGTTCTAGAACTCACTCTGTAGACCAGGCTGGCCTCAAATTCAGAAATCCTCCTGCCTCTGCCTCTGCCTCCTGAGTGCTGGGATTATAGGTGTGAGCCACCATCATCCAGCTGACAAAAGAGATTCTTAAATCTCAACGAATACACAAACTATTGTTAGGCCATTCTATTAGCACTTAATATCAGAGAGATGGATTGCAGACCCCTTGAAAAACTGTCAGGATCAAGAACCTCTAATTCCACCTCCTAAAATCACTTTAGATCCACACACAATCAAAAACAAAACCTTTAGAATGAATATAACTCAGATGGACCACAGAGTTAGCTAAGAATCAACACCTAATCGAAGTCAATCAGTGTGCCCACTCAACATTGTAGTTTAGGTCTCGACATATATTTGGCTAATGGAGCACCAAAGTAGATGAGGACTGGCAGTTACTCTGCAGCAAAACTAGGATCCTACTGGTTGCTTGAAGTAAAGGGAGCCAGAGGGGAGAGGTCCGTCTGACTGCAACTTTCAGATCAGGTAGTAGTAGTACATGGAATATTAAAGAAAATATTCACTACGACACTGTGTGAAAGGATATACATCAAGCCAATTTAACAACTGCTTCCCCCAACAATCAATTTTGTATTCCTTAAAATATTCAGCTCCAGAAGCAGATGGGAAGAGAGCAATCTCTTCCATGCATTGCTGAGTTACCCCTAAGAGAGGAATGGTAAGCGGCTAAAGGCACTCACCCATGTCACCATTTTGATGACCTGTCCATGGACATTTTGGGAGTAAGCAACCGACTCAGATGACTGCGTGCAGGGAATAACATATAGGGCTCAGGAGTGTAGGAGGGGGTCTTGGGACAGCAGCTTCTATCCTTCTTACCAGGGCAAGAAGGAGTTTACAATCCTGCATCCTTCACACGATTACTTTTCTTAGCCCCGAAACTCTTCTTTCCATCTAAAGATGAATCATTGAGCAGGAACCTAACCCATGGACAGGTGTTCAAAATTGTCATGGTTACAGGACAGTCACACAGCAGAAAGCAACAGCATGCTAATGTTAAATAAATGTATTTCTCTAACCGGACAAGAGGAGATCATTTATTTACTCAACTTAAAAGCTATACCAGAAGAAAAGTAGGATATTAGTTATCAAAAATAAATAAGACAGGGCAACTGAATGCATCTTCACAGATCAATTTACAGATGATATGGAAATATGTTGATATCATCAAGAAAATACATTTTAGATGCTCAGATGCCTAGCACGCTTCGAAACCTATTTCCCAGATGGGCGGTGGTGGTACACGCCTTTAATCCCAGCACTCGAGAGGCAGAGTCAGGCAGATCTCTGTGAGTTCGAGGCCAGCCTGGTCTACAAGAGCTAGTTCCAGGACAGGAACCAAAAAGCTACAGAGTAACCCTGTCTCGAAAAATAAAAAAAAAGAAAGAAAGAAAGACAGAAAAGAAAAGAAAAAAGAAAACTATTTCCCATTTGGCCACTAGAATTCATTTTCTGTGTGATAAAAATTAGTCAAAATTAACGTGAGAGAAATTCTGGTTTTAAACAAAACGTTTCTGCCGGGTTTTGATACTATTTCCCACACTTAGTTCTTGTTTTATTGTATCTTCTTCCTGTAAGAATAAAGCTGTAGTCATGGTTTTTTAAAACAAAGGAGTCTTCCAGAAGTACAGATCTCACCTCCAATCCTTGTCTCCTCTCTGATACTCACCCCTTATCTAAACAGGAGCAGAAACTCAACCACAAGGGAAATGGTGGGAACTAGGCAGGGACTGGAGGATGGGGAATGGAGGGGAAAGCTTGGAGTAATGGGAGGGGGGAGTGAAAAATGTCAACAATTCTCCCAGAAGCTGCAGCTCCTCCCCAGTAACTAGAGAGAGCAAATTCATAATAGGGAGAAGGGGCTGCTTTTAGCCTGATGTTACAAAGGCAATGAATGATTGACAGGACCTGATGTGCTGAGATAAGGCAGGCGTGGGGATAAAGGAGGGAGCTCCTGCTCTTGGTGGGAGTGGAATTCCGGGACTCAAGCTTACTGGCAAAGAGTCCCTCACGTGACCAAGAGCTGACGTGGGCAAAGGTACTTAAAGCCTTGACGGCCATCTCTGCCATCTTCCTCCGGGTACCAACGCCATAACGCTGCACACTGCCAGGCGAGAAGAAAATTACCTCAGAACTGGACAGGTGGGTGTGAGAATGAACATTCTCGGGACCCGGGAGTTGCAAATAGCCTAGGGTTACTGAAGGTCAAGGCCTCGGGTGCTTCTGCATCCTCTGCCGGCCGCGGTTTTCCAGACCCTAGGATCTCCGGGGCAGCGGACGAGAGGGGAGGAGGGGAATGAAAGGACTATCCGTTGTATGGAAGAAACCGCTTACTTCTCTCGCAGCAGTTTTGCGGTTTTGTTTTAGGGGCTCAGGCTCGGTTCCCTGCTTATTATGCTGTTTTGAGAAGGGCAGGCAAGAGAGATAAACGTGGCAGCTCATTCAAACCCAGCAAGGAGGTGGGTGGGGATCGGGTGGCCAGATGGGCTTGAAATTTGGAACCAATCGGTATTTTTCATTCCCATCCTCCCTTTTCAGACTACCTTGCTGCCACAACCTTGCCCCCTCCCCTCCCCTTCCTTCCCCTCCCCTCCCCTCCCCTCCCCGCTATCCTTCTAGGGTGCTAGAAAATGGGTGTGCCCGCTTCTGTAGAAGAGATGGCGTATTTGGCGTTGTACGGGCTTCACAGGCTGGGGGGCCGTAAGCGATCTGGTATTAAATCGTCATGCTAACTGCCAGGCTGCTTTCCAGACACCTGCGGCCCACGGAGCCCTTCATCCTGGTCTTTTCAGCCCTGAAAAAAAAGGAATTCCGGTATTTAGGCTATAGAAATGGCGGTTTTCTGGGGATTTGGGGTGGGGGAGGGAAGCGGGACCCAAAGCAGAGAAACCACGGAAAATCAGGACCCTGAAACTGAGGAGGTGGGCCTAGCGGCCCTTGTTCTGCAGGAAGGTGGGGGCTGAAGAACGGCTGAGCATAGGCGAGGAACACTAGAATATCTGGCAGGAATCCCCCCATGCTGCATCTTAGCCAGCACTCTCACCTCGCCCCCTCCGCTTCGATGCAGCAGAAGGGGTGTGGCGCAGTGTCTCAGAAAAATGGCGGCGGGGGGAGGGGGTGGGGCGAAATAGAAGGGGACATTGAGTGCCTGGGGAGCCTGCGCAAACGGGGGGGGGGGCGAGGATGGGGGGGATGGGGGGATGGTGAGAAAGGCAAGGAGAATTAAAGGAATTGAAAGGTGGAGTTCTTCGTCATCGTGGTGTGCAGATGAAAAAAGGCTAACACTAGGGCTCTTGTTCTGGATGCTGATATGTCCACCAGGTTCTTAGTCTGCGCCTGCAGTCTCTATTTCTGCCCTTCAGCCTGCCCTCAGCATGAAGCTCAGGCTGAACTAAAGGAAGGAGAAAGAGCTCAGAATTCTTGCAGGTCAGTGTTTGGGGTGAGCATCCCCTTTGGCAGAGGCCAGAACATAGCACCAACACACCTCCCCCTGCATGTTTCCTTTCTTTAAGACACCTTTGTTCTGGCCTGTCCTTTCTGGTGCAGGGAACGGGGCATATGGGATCTCTAATTTAAATTCATCATTGGGGGAGAAAAGGAGGAGTCCTGAGAGACTTTTTTTGGCCCATCAGAATGCAAATCAGGGGAGAAACAATTGTCTCTCTGCCAAAGGCTCAAAGCCACCTGTCATTTACCCACAGATCCCTCTACCTTTAGGCCCTGCAGCTGCCAGCACGGCGGGAATTGCTCCTGATCCCAGGAAGTTGGTATGTATATGTGCACTATCTGAGGGCTCTTGAATGGGGGTGGAGGTATCACAGGTGAATCTCAGATTTCACACTCTGCCAGATTTCCATGCCCTCCCCACTTAGGGACAACTAAATCGTAGATGCTGGCACTGGGAAGGTGAACTAGAGGTAAGACAAATCAATAAGTGCGGGCTTCCACACCTGTGTCCCAAGCGCTCCCCTAAGGTTAGACACAAAGTGAGCCCAAACCCTGTGCCTCTCACTTCTAACGTTTACCCCTACTAGGTCCAGCTCAGTTTGCTGCCTCAGAAGACCTTTCAAGCCCGAGTTTGAGAGCCTCGTTTTGACTGGTGCATACGTTCGTTCCACTTAAGCAATCTGGATCAGAGAATTGTTGCACGTGTATCATGAGCCGTACTCGGGATGCTGGCTGCGTAGCTGCTGGAATAGTGATCGGGGCTAGCGCCTGGTACTGTGTCTACAAATACACTAGAGGAAAAGACCAGAAGAAGAAGAGACCAGCCAAATCCAAGAACCGGGCTTCGGTGGGTACTGGAGCCAGGGCTAAAGGTGGACTAAAAGCAGGATTCACAATTGACCTTGGGCCAGGGTTCAATCCCCCAGCCTCTGTCACTGTTGAGACAATGAATAAGGCCCAAGGGAAAACATCCACTCTTGCCACAACTGCAGCTGAAAAAATGGTGCCAGCTGCACCCAGCCCTAAGGTTCAGAATGGGACAGAAAGTAAGGCCCAGGAGGCCAAGGGGGCTGGGACTGAGCCTACTACCAAACCAGTAGTCGCGACTTCAGCTGCCAGTGCAGTTACACCCCCACCCAAGGTGGCAGAGGTTCCCACAGCTGCAGAGGCCCCACAAATAGTAGTGACTCCCAAAGTGGCAGAAGCTCCCGGTACCATGGAGGCTACTGGGATAGCAGCACTCCCTGGGCCAGCAGTACTTCCTGGGGTAGCCCAGTCTCCTGGGCCATTAGTACCTTCCCCATCAATAGCACCTTCTGTGCCAACAGCACTTCCCTGGGCTGTAGCACCTCCTGGGGTAGCCCAGTCTACTGGGCCAGCACCACCAACCATGGCAGTGCAATCTCTTGTGCAAGCAGCACCTTCCTGGGCAGTCGTAGCTCCCCCCGGGGCAGTCTACATTCCCGTGGCAGCCCACTTTACTGGGCCAGCAACTGCCAGGGTAACCCAGTCTCCTGGGACAGTGGTGCCTCCCCTTCCACCCCCGTCTCTTGGGGCAGCAATGCTTTCTAGGGCAGTCCAGTCTCCTGCGACAACAGTGCCTCCCAGAGCAGTCCAGTCTTCTGGGGCAACAGTGCATCCTGGGATAGCCCAGTCTCCTGGGGTAGTAGTGCCTCCCAGAGCAGTCCAGTATTCTGGGGCAGCAGTGCCTGCCATGACAGGAGTCCCTTCTGGGGCAACAATGCCTGCCATGACAGGAGTCCCTTCTGGGGCAACAATGCCTGCCATGACCGGAGTCCCTTCTGGGGCAGTAGTGCCTGCCATGACCGGAGTCCCTTCTGGGGCAGTAGTGTCTCCCATGACAGGAGTCCCTTCTGGGGCAGTAATGCCTGCCATGACAGGAGTCCCTTCTGGGGCAGTATTGCCTGCCATGACAGGAGTCCCTTCTGGGGCAGTAATGCCTGCCATGACAGGAGTCCCTTCTGGGGCAGTAATGCCTGCCATGACAGGAGTCCCTTCTGGGACAGCAGTGTCTCCCATGGGGCCAACAACTCCAATGGCGGCGGCAGCATTTGCTAGGGCATCAACATCTACCCAGAGGGCAACAACCACAGACGTCATGCAGGTCCCTAGGGTGGCAGCACCTACTGAAGCCACAGAGGCTCCTAGAATGGCAACACCTGCCATGGTGGCTGGGGCCTCTCTGCCAATGCTTTCTGGGGCTGCCCAGACTCCTGGGCATTCAGGGTCCTCTAAGACAGCAGCCACTGGGAAGAAAGCTGGAGCTCACACTGGAGCTATACCTAAGTCTGGGTCAGCCGCTGGCGCTGTGCCCAAAGGCGGGGGCAAAGGTGGAAACAGGAACCGGAATGGAGGCAAGGGCAAAAATAGAAAAAACAAGGTTGAAGTGGATGAATTGGGGATGGGCTTCCGCCCTGGTGACGGGGCTGCGGCAGCTGCTGCAGCTTCTGCTAATGGCGGACAGGCTTTCCTAGCAGAGATTCCTGAATCTGAGGAGGGGGAGTCTGGGTGGACTGATACAGAGTCAGATTCTGACTCTGAACCTGAGGTTCAGCAAAGAGGGAAGGGGAAGAGAACCATTCCCATGCATAAGCGCCCCTTTCCGTATGAAATCGATGAGATTCTGGGTGTCCGAGATCTCAGGAAAGTCCTAGCCTTGCTTCAGAAATCAGATGATCCTTTCATCCAGCAAGTAGCCCTGCTCACCCTGAGCAACAATGCCAATTATTCATGTAATCAGGAAACAATTCGCAAGTTGGGAGGCCTCCCGATTATTGCAAACATGATCAACAAAACTGACCCCCATATTAAGGAAAAAGCCTTAATGGCCATGAATAACCTGAGTGAAAACTATGAAAACCAGGGCCGACTGCAGGTGTACATGACCAAAGTGATGGATGACATCATGGCCTCTAACCTGAACTCGGCAGTACAGATCGTTGGGCTAAAATTTTTAACAAACATGACTATTACCAATGATTACCAGCACCTGCTTGTCAATTCCATCGCAAACTTTTTCCGTCTGTTATCCCAGGGGGGTGGAAAAATCAAGATCGAAATTTTGAAAATACTTTCAAATTTTGCTGAAAATCCGGATATGCTCAAAAAACTTCTCGGTACCCAGGTGCCGTCATCCTTTAGTTCCCTTTATAATTCTTACGTGGAGTCGGAAATTCTCATTAATGCTCTTACTCTGTTTGAGATTATCTTTGACAACCTCAGAGCGGAAGTGTTCAACTACAGAGAATTCAACAAGGGTTCCCTGTTTTATTTGTGTACTACATCTGGGGTGTGTGTTAAGAAAATCCGAGCCTTGGCAAATCACCACGACCTCTTGGTGAAAGTGAAAGTTATCAAACTGGTAAACAAATTCTGACTTGTGCCCTCAAGATCTGTGAGGTCTCAGTTTTCCAGTCTGGAAGCATTAAAAATGAGATGTTATTGCTTTTCTCCTTGTGTGTATAGTAAAGGAGTTCTTTCAGCTGCCAGCTTAGAATAATGTGTCATTCAGAGTGATGTTGTTGTTTGTGGCAGTCACCAGCTTTAAGCGGAACCATTTTCTGAATACCAAATAGTCCTGTAGTCCTATAGTACTGAAGACACATTTGTGATTTGAATTGTGCTGCTTGAGTGGAATATTTTTCCCAAGTCCTCTATGTGAGTTGATAATGAACCTGTCCGTGAATGGCCTATTCTGCCCTTACTTGTTTTGACTTGAATTTTGTCACCAAAGACTTCATATGTGTATCATCAATAAAGTTGTGTGTTGCAAATCGGAAGAAATTGTTCTCATGCTTGAATTAAAAGTCTAGCTGCAGAGGTAAGGGACATGAATACAGATGGACTGCTAATAGTACGTGGGCATTTTCTCAGTGTCGGATACTTGCTATCTGGGAGGATGAAGCAGAACTTCAATGAAGGATACACTGAAACTGAGCCTGAAGGACAGAATAGGAGAGAGGCCTGGAAGGGAGAAGTGGTCTGAAGAAAGGCATGGGGTGAGATTCTGTTCCTGTGAGAGGGAGGAAGGTAATCTCCCTGAAACAGAAAAATAAAAGCTGTGGAAGAAGAGTGAGAAAAGAGAAAGATGAGAACTTAGGGTGAAGAAGTTATTTTGTTTGCTTGTTTTGTTTTGTTTTTAAGGTCTTAAACCACTAGTTTGTATACCAAAATATCCTGTCATTCAAGGAGTAACAGGACATTTAAAAATATATGTATATAAAGGAAACACAGGGCTGGGAGATAGCTCAGTTTGTAAAGTCTTTGCCTCACAAGTATGAGGATTTGAGTTTGATTCCCAGTACCCACTTAAAAATGCTTGGTGTAATCTTGGCCCTGGGGGTGAAGAAACAGGAGGATCCATGTGGCTCACTGGCCAGCCAGTCTAGTAGCCTTAATGATGAGCTCCAGAGACCCTGTATCAAAGGAGGAATGGAATTCCTGATCATGACACCTCAGTTTGTCCTCTGGTCTCTACACATATGTGCACACACATGAACACACAGGTAAAAATGGAAAGTAATCTAGCGGTAATGTGCATGATGGGCGAAGCGGGCATGGGCCTAGGGGTAGGGATTACATGAGAGCAATTGCTTGAAAGTTTTAATAAACAAAGCCTGAAATAAAGAATGAGGAAGTGGAGTGGTAATAAGACACATGTGCACAAGTACATGCTTGCACACACACACACACACACACACACACACACACACACATCCAAGTTCTGACAGGGAAGGGCTCGCTTAGGCAACTGTGAGGGCCCACATAGTGACCAAATGAATTCTCCTTTAAGATGGGAAGAAAATCAGCAATAGAATGACGTTTGGTGCTGACCCCTGGTAGCTTTCTCAAGCTTTTTCAAGCTTTCTCAAAGCTAGAGGTCAGCTCAGCCCTCCTTTGGAGAGGGGGCTGAGGTGAGGTTTTTCTTATATCCTCACCCCTACTCCTTAGTTTTCCTCCTTCTAGGGCAGAGCTGAATGAAGGCTTTGGAGCCTAGAATTGCTCTTACCCAGTTTTACTGCTATTACACACATGTCATGCAGTAAGTAATAGATTTGCTGTGATGAGGACAGACTCATGGTTTTCTGACTTCTTAATAAGGAAAGTCTGAAAAGATGTCAGTCCTGACCTAGTCATGCCTTTTTTAAAAGTAAGTATTCATTATTTATTTATTAACATTTTTTTTCATTTATTTTGCACAGCAACCACATTTTCCCTTCCCTCATCTTCTTTCATTACCTTCCTCCCCCCACCTCCCATTTCTCCCCCCACCTAGTCCTCCTCCATCTCCATTCAGAAAGGGGCAGGACTCCCATGGGGTAGCACAAAACACGGCGCAATCAAGTTGAGGTAGGACCAAGCTCCTCCCGCTGAATCAAGGCTGGGCTCATAGTCATATCTTTTTCTGCATGACTTAGAGTGTGTATTTGAGCTCATACACTGCAGATGGGCACACCAGAAGCTGTTAGCTTAATCCCAGTTGCCAAGGTAATTCAGTCATCTCTCTTTGCTCAGATTGACACTGGAAACTTTTATCCCCTTAAATGAAACCTATTCTGTACAAAATGTATGTATCCTGACTTATAAATGAGCAAAAAATCTTATAATAGGTATTATGTTTCCTAAAATCTAGATTTGAATGTCTTAAATCATGTCCCGTGTGGAAAATCAACAACAGAAAGTAGAGATGTCTGAAGCTTGAAACAGCATTCTTTAAAATATTCAATTTAGCAAAATAATAGCAATAATCTCTAGAAATTGGGCATCAGCTGTGTGTTATTTTATTATCCCTGAAACATTCCATACGAGTTGGATGGGGTCAGATATTTTTTTTTCTAAGAATACTGAGAACTAGTGAAAACAGTCAGTAGGCGTGAATAGGGGGATTCAACATAAAAGATAAAGAAACTTAGTATGAGGACCCCTTTCCACTTAGAGCCCTCAGAAGACCTCTGAGGGCACAGGCTTCCAAATTAAACTTCTTTATTACTGAATTGTAATATAGGTTGAACTTACCACCTTGCCTAATCTCTTTAGTTAGACTAAGAATCCTGTAGCTGAAATAAGTGATCTGGAAAAGCCTGAGCCTCTTTGGGTTTTTAAGAAAATTAGTTCCCACAGTGTCCTGATGAGGAGGAAAATAGAAAATTGCCTCATATGAAACTTGAATTTTTTTATATAATTTTTTATTGAAAAAAAAATTTCCGCCTCCTCCCCGCCTCCCATTTCCCACCCCGTCTCCCTTTCCCCCCCTCCTCCCTCTCCTCTCCCCCTCCCCCCACTCCTCTCCCCCTCCCTCTCCAGTCTGAGGGGCAGTCAGGGTTCCCTGCCCTGTGGAAAGTCCAAAGTCCTCCCCGCTCCATCCTGGTCTAGGAAGGTGGACATCCAAACTGGCTAGGCTCCCACAAAGCCAGAACATGAAGTAGGATCAAAACCCAGTGGCATTGTCCTTGGCTTCTCAGCAGCCCTCATTGTCCGCCATATTCAGAGAGTCCGGTTTTATCCCATGCTTTTTCAGTCGCAGTCCAGCTGGCCTTGGTGAGCTCACAATAGATCAGCCCCACTGTCTCCGTGGGTGGGTGCACCCCTCGTGGTCCTGACTTCTTTGCTCATATTTTCCCTCCTTCTGCTCCTCCTTGGGACATTGGGAGCTCAGTCCGGTGCTCCAGTGTGGGTCTCTGTCTCTATCTCCATCCATCTCCAGATGAAGGTTCTATGGTGATATGCAAGATATTCATCAGTATGGCTATAGGATAGGGTCATTTCAGGTTCTCTGTCCTCAGCTGCCCCAAGAACTAACTGGGGACATCGCCCTGGGCACCTGGGAGCCCCTCTAGCACCTAGAGGAAACTCGAATTTTGAAATTTTAAAATACCTCAGGTCTGAGGTTAAGACACAGCAATAAAAGAAAAAGGGAGAGGGGCCTAGAGAATGTCTTGGCAGTGAAGGTCCGCAGCTTGGTTCCCAGTACCCACATTAGGCCACTCCAGGTCCTGGCCTCCGGGCACCTGCTCCACGTTTACCGGCCTACATGGAGATATACACATATACACAGAGTTAAAAATAAAATAAAATCTAAAGTAATAAACCAAGAGAATTACAGATTTTGAATGAGCTTTATTTTTAATATAAGATCAGTTAGTGCAAATCATTGAGACCCCAAACTATTATTTTTTCATTATTTTTTTTTCATTTATTTTACATACCAACCACAGTCTCCCCTCCCTCCTTTCCTTCAGCTCCCTCCCTAACCTTCCATCTACCCTCCCACCCACACCTCCACCTCTGTTCGGAAAGGGCCAGCCTCCCATGGGAGTCAACAAAACAGGGCGTAACAAGTTGAGGCAGGATTAAGCTCCTCCCCTTGCATCAAGGCTGGGCGAGGCATCCTAGCAGGAAGAATAGGTTCCCAAAAGCCAGCTCAGGCGCCAAATGCTCACAAATATTAGTATAAATAAACCCAAAAGAAAATGAGAGATGAATGTGGAGCTTTTGAAATGGAAGGACAAAGCACACAATTCAAATGTATTAGTAACCACAATGCGTGAAAATAGACTGCATCCATTAGTTTAAAACTTCCATTCAAATTTGAAAATACAACTGCATGCTGATGAATAAGCAAAGAGAAACTTCAGAACCAAAAGACACAAAAAGTTAAACTATACAAGCACTAAGTAAAAATCAGCACACAGAGTTAGCAATTCTAAAAAGACTTTAAGAGAGGAAATTTTATTATAATAGAAAGGGTGAATGATCAAGCAAACTGCTTTGCATTGACACCATGGTATACTATTTGTCAGTGGAAAGAAATGTACTATGAGTACAAACAACTTGAATGAATCTGTGGAGTATTGTACTAAGGAACATATCAAACAGTGTATATTGAGTTAGATATCTCGGTGGGTAAAGAAGCTTGCCATTGAGCCAAAGGACCTGAGTTCAATCCCCAAGACCCACATTGTGGGAGGAGACAAACAACTCCATCGATTGCTATCTAACCTCCACATGAACACTTTGGCAAGAGAACACATGTACCTATACACAGACATACAGACAGATAGACACACACCACCACATCCACCGCCACCACCACCATCACCACCACACACACTAAATATATGTAATTTAAAATATTTTCAATTTTTGTATGTTGTGTATGAGTGTTTTGTCTATATGTATGTCAGTATACTGTATGAGTGCTTAGTACCCAGGTAAACCAAAAAAGAAAGTTAGATCCTCTGGAACTGGAGTTAACAGACAGTTGTGAGCTGACGTGTGGGTGCTGAGCATGGAACTCAGGACTTCTGGAAGAGCATCTTAACCTCTGTGGCATCTCTCCAGGAACATAAAAAAATTTAAAGTCATATGTTATGTTTCTACTTTAAAACTATTCTTGGCCTGGCATGATGGTACATGTCTTTAATCTCAACACTTGGGCCCTCTCTCAAAAAAGAAAATTTTGCTCAGTACAGTAGCCAGGCAGGGACAGGCAGATCTTAGTGAGTTTGAGGTCAACTTGTTCAACATAGTGAGTTCCAGGACAGTCAGAGAAAATGTGAGACCCACCTCAAAAAAAATTCTTAAATTTTCAAAATAGAGAGATGGAGATTGGGTAATGGTTGCCAAGGATCAACAATAACGGAGTGAGAAGATATGAAGCTACAAGGGGCATCATAAAGAAGATCTGTGGAGTGGTGGATGAGGCCTATATCCTGACTGCAGAGGCATGACAAAATGACATTGTTATATACAGATTTTGTACTAATGTCAGC